GTCCCCTGTTCTTCGGCGTGCCGGTGGACCCGACAGTTGACCTATGCTTACTCAGTCCGTATACACGTGCGCACACGCCCGCGTGTACAACTGCGTCCAAATAAGAACGCGTGTCTAAGTGCCACTTGAACACGACAAGCCGCAGCCCCACAGCAAGGGGCCATTGCAGGCAACATACGCTCGGGTAATTGCAACACATCGATAACAGAACAAGTGAATCTGCTTTACAGTCATTTTGACTTTCTCAGACCTGGCTGGACGCAGGCAGGACAAGCCCTGGCATCGCCAGTGGCTACTGCCACCTGAGACTGCAACTGAGAATTCTGTGTAAAATAAACCTCTCTAACTGGTGACTGTTGCCTTTAACTTCCAATCTGGGATTCGAATTGATGATTGTAGTGATCCTAGTATATCCATTACTTAGAACCCTACACCATATAACCATGTCCTACGGTTGGTTAAAGATAAGAATGGCATACTAAAGGACGCCAAATGCTATCCGTAATCCAACTAGCCGAGTTTATTCGACTGAAATTGTCTTGGCAATAGACCAGGCAGATTATCGGTGTAAGTAGGAAGTTATGGCATGGAGAGATTTCTACCCACAAAGATCAACCGCAATTGGTGGTAATTTCACTCAATCCACTGTGCATTTTTCTAGGGTTTCCGATGATTGTATAGTGCTAGTTCTTATCCTGTGGTGGAACGCTAAGATCCTGTTTCCTGACTGTTATTTATCCAGGGAATTGCATATTGATCCGAAATTCAAACTGAACGAACAGTACCTGATACTCTAGGAGATTTCTATTTCCATTGCAGTAAGTTTAGTTTACTTATTAATTTATTATTTACTTTTATGAGTTTCATTCTAGCTTGTGCAACAGTAGTTTGTGTAATGCGGCTCATTAATCCGTAATCCCAGCATTTATCCTACATAAACGTTGGTTATAGGGTTTTGGTGGTGGGAAATTAGGATAGACATGTTACGTTAATAGCCGCTATACGCATTTTTATTTTATTTTGGTTAGAAATGTTGTTGGTTTATATCTGTAGATTTTCTAAATCTGTATTATTGTTTAACGTATTGCAGAAATCCCGATTATCAAATTGCAGGTTTCTTGAAATTTCTGAAGAATAGAAATGATGATTAGGAGGTCCTCTACTTAAGCTAACCTGAGGTCCAACTTACCGCTCTAGAGTTAGATAAGTATAGTCGGGGCGCAAAGCGCCGCGCACACCTTCAACTTACATGCAGAACAACTTACTCCCAGTTGCCGCGGGAAACAAAATCGACTACACTTTACACTTCTAAAATTCTTCTTCCCTGCCTATCCTACTTCTGCACCCCTAAACACTCTATAAGTACCGTTTCCGTAGGACAATGTGCTCGGTCTAGGGGTATATGAGGTGCACTACATAGACTACTTTTGCATGCAAGTCTAATATCAGTTAAAACTAACTTAAACGCAAGTTGCTGTCGATGCACCAACCTGCTTGGAAAATACAGTGGACATAACCTAAATCGATGGTAGAACTGCTGTCAGGGCAGAGCAATGTATGGTCTTCCAGGAATTATGCGCAGGTCCACCTGCACGACTTGAGCGGGCTGCTCCTATCCTCGTATCCTGTTTAGAGGGCCACATAAGCAATCCCTATTCAATCAGTTGTCTTCTTGTCTACAAGAGATGTCAAAACTCGACCATTGACACCTGGTTTACGGGAAAATACACAGGCTTCCATGTTGACTCTTGAAGCCAATAGGGGAGGTTATACGACCTACATCGTATGTGCCTTTGCCAAGTCATCTATGCAACGGCCTGTTTAGTCCGATAATGGTCGCGGTAAAATAAAATATCACAGCATCTTACACACTAGTTGTAACGCAAGCTGGTATAAAAGACTGGTGCAAATCAATCAGTGAACATGGCAGACATGAAGTGCACGACCCTCGAACTTCCTAGCACTGGTTTCATGCCCACCTTGGTGAACGTTCGGGCGGCAAATAACTATACTCTGGTGAGGATTCTAAGATATATTTGTCGATAGAACCGTCAAAGTCTCAACTAAAGACCAATGTACTTTGCCAACATGTTGAGCGCCGAATGCAAAACATTCACGGCCTGATACACACAAAACCAAATTTACGGAGAAGCATATATGTGATTTATCATTTTCGACATACATAAAACTGACTCCGCTTTTCCAGCACTCCTGATCTTCTGTCATTTTTGCAAAAGCGACAAAAGTGGTTGTAAGAGTGTTTGGGCTATGAATAACACCAGTAGTACGCATGGATGCATCATAAAAAAACACTATTAGATTGGTTTCTGGTTTTATGATGTATAACAAATGCAGACCTCATGTAAAATGTAAACAAAAGTCAATATCAAAGACGCAACGAAATATGAAAAAGAACTGGCAGTTCAGTCTTCATTCGCCAACCCGAATATGGGATCGGAATCAAACCAACTAGCGCCCTCCGCGGACACTTCCTGCCGTCGTTTACCTTCTGCAGGGCCCTTGGTTTTCGCTCCTGGCGTTTTTCGCACGTTTAAATTCTGAATACCGAAAGTAAGCAAACGAAACTTTGAAGGCTACACAACGTACCAAATGCACACTAGCATGAGCATATAGAACATTTTATTAACAACAATAAGACAAGATAGGAAAATAGGATACACCCTCGCTAATACAGATAGTCATGCGCAAAATTCCAGGAAGGATAAATATTACCAAATCACAACTCTAACACCACACCTAACCAAAGCTTTAATATTAAACTTAACTCAAGCAAAATCTTATGTGAACGCTGACCCTAATTTCAGTCTAAAGACCTAATTTACCCTAACCAAAATTCTACACTAATCCCAAACTTAACCCTAACATCAATCTTATTTCTCGCCGCAAGCTCCCTTGAAATGAGGGCAAGTCCCCTGTGATGGAAGAGGTCCTGTTTTCGTGTCTTGCCAGCAAGCATTTTCTGTAAAACCGCACTCATATTCTAATTACAAAGGCAGTTGCACGTTTGTTGAGCTCTAAAATTTTGACTTCCAAATTGACCGTAACCTGCTGATTGATTAGACAATGTGACCTCTTAGATTTACCTTTATCCAGTTATCGAATGTCCGCTTATGTTTACGGGTGACGTCGTTAAGTAGCAAAGTCTGAAACTCATAGTGCCTGCAGGATTTAAATAAACTTCAGCGGCGAGGTGCCCTATTATATAAACGTATCGTGGTCTCAGTATAACTTATTCTTATACAAAGGCAGAAACTACTTAAGTCAAATGCTGAGGTTTTATGGGCAAGAGCTGGAATTAACTTTTCAGATATTTTATGGTTGTAGAAATTGATTTGACCGTCTACGTACGCTGCGGCTCCAAGTTGTCAATGTTAGAAACCCAATGATATCATGTGAGCAAAATGAAAAGTGATGGACAAAGGCAGGGAGATCACATGGCCTTCGCCTGAGTCACGGACGACTGAGGAGTTCACGTAGTCAAAGGTTTGATTATTTGTTAGAGACACACCAACTGGCTTTAACGCAATACGGGCGTTTCATCCAAAATAAAGGTATAAATTGGTACCATGCCATACACGTTGCCCGACCGTGTAGGAATAACGAACCTTATAGCTAACTTTGCCTAAAATTATCAAAAATAAACTAGCAATATATTTAGAGAAGTGAACGACATAAGGCTTGAGTGTTTCCATGACTTTATATGAAAGCCTGTTGAATAAAGGGTACTTCTAGTTGGTATTGGCCCTTATAATGGACAGTTCAATTAAAAACTACTAACAGTCAAAGCGCCAGATTATTTACCTAGTGATATTCAATTGGTAATAAAATGCCTTAATGAGAGGTAGGATATCAGTTAACAAAAGTTTCTGCTCATTTGGGATCGGTCTAAAATCGAACGATTAGTGAGGCCTACTTCGGATGTACAAACCCGAAGAAAAATAAATGTCCAGGAGATGTGCACTTACCCTTGTTTGCGAAGAAATTGTTCCACCCACTATCGGTGTCCTTCTAATCCTTGGTGTGATGGGCCTGCTTTGGGGTTCTGGCTCACTATCCAAATCAATAACGCCGTAATCAACCGGCTCGACCCTCGGAGGTGGTGAAGGTGACCGCTCAGGAGAAACCAAAAGTACTCGGCGCCGTTTGCACTCCGATCCGGGCTGCTTAAGTATGCCCTTAGGAGTCTTTTGTGGAGTTTTTAGGAGATTCTAAGTCGTATAACGTAAGCACTGTGAAGACATTACCAGATGAGTAAGCTTCTGAGACAGTAAAGGGGACTTGGGGGTTTGCTGTACAAGCGTCTCAATCTCCGCCGGCAGTTGGGTGCTTGCTGGAGGGGAATTGTTTATTACCTGATGTTTGAAGGTTTCAAATTCCAGCTCCGTCTTTCTTAGTTTCTGTAATTCCCTTTCCTGTGCCGAAACCTTCTCGTCTAGCTGTTCCTTGTTCAGCCTTAGGCTATCAAGTTCATCGCGAAGGCTAGCAATCGTGTCTGTATTTTCTTGTAATTTATTAGCCTACAATCGTGAGTAGTTCGAGAATAATTATTATACCTTTTGCTCATTCTCCTTCTCCAGTTTGTTCATCCGCTGGGTCTTCATGTTCAGTTGCTTGGAAAGTTCCTTCTATGTGTTTGTAAAGGGATAAAAACTTTACCGTATGTTAAAAAGGCGACATGTTGGTTAATATAAGTAACAGTGCATAGGTTGCTAATACTATGCACAGAATTGGAGGTGATAATAGGAGCGCTGTTCGTAAGCGACCAAGTGAAATATAGAGCTCGTAAAAATCTATACTGTTTGATGTCAAACAGAAACATTCCACTGGCCTTTAGATTTTATCCAAAGTAAACAGCGTCTGATCTATTGCCATCGCGCCCATCAGTTACTGAAAGTAATTGATATTCAGCTCGTGCTGACTGAAAATTTTGGCTTTGCCAGGTGGGCAGTTGCCATGATGGAGTACGACGTTTTTTGATAGGTGCATCAGTTAAATTTAAGAAGCATTGTGGCGGACAGCCAACGATGCTGCCTTCCTTCTTGTTCAATGCCCGTTGCCCGACAGTCCTTCATTTCCACAGGTAGCTGTTTTCGACCCGTTGACCTGAAAACCTTTGACCGACTTGCCCACACGCGCGCATCCAAACCAGTCGCGGCTACCTAAGGGTCACTTGAACACGCCAATCCCTCGAACAATTCAGTATGGGCCTCTATAGGCGACACTCCTCCCTCCCTCGAGCAATGCAGTACACCAATCGCACCCCACTTGAACTTGCTTCACAATTATGTTAACGTAGCTGTCATAGCTGTCACTCACACCCCTTCAGACCTGGCAGTCGACACCAGTACTGGCTTTTCCAGTGGTCACTGCCGTCTGAGACAGCAACTCAGGGTTGTGTGCGCAAGAAATGCCTCATTCTAGTGACTTCTGCTTCTTACTTAATTGCAGTAGTCGCCGGCTATTAAGCCCACCTCGGGCCCAGACCAAATTGGGCTTAAAAGGCGGCGGGCGCATTAACCGGAGAGTCCTAGCTCATGATTAGCAAAA